CATTACAAAAAAAAAAAAATAAAACATAATTTTTTTCTCTTAAGTAATTGTAGTAATCTGCAATTTATAAAAATGCAAAAAAAAATTTAGTCTTACCACCCACGGTTCTCTTAATACTATATCATTATAAGATTTTTAAATGGAAAAATATACTTTTAACCAATCTTTTAAATGATAAAATTATCTAAGTTGATATAATTTTAATGCGTAAGGAAATGGTATAAGACTGAATTATTTAAAATAAATATATAGATTGTAAGATTTTACAGAGTGTTCAGTACGTTAGGAAACATTTCAGTTGTTACAAAAAATGAGAACTACAGAAACCCGTTTCCTTACTTACAACAACCAACTTACATAAGCTTCTGAAAAGAAAGACTATATTATGTTTTATATGTTTAATGATATTACGTATGTCATAGTTTGACAATCACCCTGTAAACAACATCAATTACTTTTCATAAGTTACCATATAATTTTATAGATAAAGTATAAAAATAAAATATATTTTTTATACGTTATCTTGATATTTATATATAAAAAAATTGTTTTAACTATTTATTTGTTTTTAACTTATAACTTAACATAAAAGTTGACTTAATTGGAAATCAAAACTAAATTATTAAGTTTAACTTAAAAAAATTATAATTGATTAATTTGGCTAATCATTGAATAATAAATAAAAATAATCCAACACCATCAAAGATCTTTAATAAATGTATTAGCTGATACACATATATCAAAAACAATGCTTATCTAACAGTTAGAATGTATTTGGCGCTGATGATGGATTGGTATAAGTTAATTTTATTTATAATTGATTATTATTGTAAAAATTGTTAATCAATTATTACATCAAAAAACATTAATTTTTATTTTATTGACTATTTAATCACTATCAAAATATTTAAATTGTGTTTGGAATTACCCGATGCGAATTTTAATATTTCACATTCATCGTTAGCATTATTAAGTCATTAAAAAAAATGTTTAGCAATTTTGACATTTATTTTTCTTTACACTGTGTGGCAATAGTTTAAACTGGGGCAATAATTTTATTGGTCCGTTCGTCAAATTTTGAAATTCGCCCCTTATTATAGATGTACATTTCTATTACCTAAGTAATAATTTATGTTAAATTAGAGATTATTTTATTGACACACTTTATTTAGATCCAATTTAATAGGGTTATTAATATAACATTGATTTACGGAAAAATTAGGATTAGTTTGATTTTAAACCTTAAATCAGAANTAGATCCAATTTAATAGGGTTATTAATATAACATTGATTTTCGGAAAAATTAGGATTAGTTTGATTTTAAACCTTAAATCAGAAGTATATCTATTCAAATTTTTTCTGCCCTAGTTATTATTTATAATATTTTTAAACTCTTAAAATTTCAATTTATCAATTTTTATTTAATAGAAATAATATTTTTTTTACAAGAAAATATGATGAATTGCTTCCAAAATGAACCAACTAACATTTATATTTCGCGTATGATCAAATTTAATAGGAATTTTTATTTTTATGCATTGGTTAATGATTTCGAAACTATTTCACTGGAATGCCGTTTTTCTTTAAAAATCCTAAGAATTGCGTTTTTTTATTATAAAATTATCCACAGGAGTATATAAATTTAAGTTAATTTATTTATTTATCCTGTGAAGTATGATCTATTTATAGAGTTCGTATTGTTTTTTTAACAAATAACAGGGAACGATTATATTTAATTAAATAACTTGATCTTAAGTTACATACATTATTATTTCATAATTGTGTTACACGCAATATGATCAAAAATATAGTAAAATGAAAAATTTATCAATGCCACCGAGTATTTTTACGCAAACTCCGGACGAGAATTTATTAGTCCTGTTTAATTAACATTTTACAATTTCATACTGTAAATAACATCTTGTGTTTTACTTATGTACTTAAAGTTCCACTTACTTATTAGCCTTATAATATTTGAAGATAATATTAAGATTTTAAACAGTGCATATGCAGGATTATGATGACGCAGTATTAAAAAAAAACAGGATNATGACACAGTATTAAAAAAAAACAGGATCATGATGATAGGACAACTTGAATATTAGAATATTATGTTACTATTGTTTATTCTAATCGTACCCTTTGAATTCATAATAATATAATACCAATGTTAAATCTTAAAAATACGTTGACAAGTGAATAAATATCCTAAAATAATTCTACCCGAAGTACTTATAAGCAATGTTTAGTTATATTTGTGTTTATTTTTTTAGTCATGGAGTGCTATATTTAATATTACGCCAATGAGTGAGGGATTGGTTCAAAGTTTATCTCAATACATTAGGTTATAATGTTCGTTAATCCGCATTAATATGATAAACAATTATTTAATTTCGTATAGCTACCCAAAAATACTACCGTATAATTTTTTTTATATCATTTATCATTTAGACAATACTAACTTAAAAAAAGATACACTACCTAAAATATGTAATACGCTAAAAACAAATAAGTCATAAATAATATATTTTGGTATACATAGAAATAAATACAAATTTTAACGACATAACTAACATTATATTAGTTTTTTCCACCATCTAATTTTTATTAGAATTAATTATTAAAATATTTTAATTTCTCAGACTTGTCTGCTTAGCTAATTTGTTTGACTCTCGAGAATCGAAAATAAATTTAAATAATATAAGATATTGCAAAAAAATGGCCTTAATATTAATGAGAGTTCAATCATTTCAATTATATGATTTGAATTACAGATGAAATAAGTGCCAGTCGCTAGATATTGCACGACTAAATACAAAAACGTATATGCGAGGTCTTTATTTATTTATTTTTATTAATTTTATATTTCATTTAGGATCATGAGACTATTTAAAGTGCGTGGTTTTAGGCAAATAGCTGTGCCTTTCCGCAAGCTCTGATTACAATTTTTAACCATTACTCTAACTGTGTAAAATTATATGAGCTTAGGTAGGAAATAAAATAAGTGTCTCTTCAATACAAAAAATATTAGCACTAAAACATTTAAATCAAGAAAAATTGCGACAGAATTAAACAGTTTTGCTAAAGTGAAATTCGAAAAATAATTAAATTTATTATAAATTACTTGAAAAATTTGTATTTTTATTATATTTTTAGATAATACGTAATCACTAAATTTGTGAAATAAAATAGTTATTCTAAAAAATATTTGGGAATAAAAAATAATGTTTTATTAAATATAGCTGTTGTTGAAAGTAAAAATTGCGTCTTACCTCAAAATTCTACCTACCTGACACGGCCCGTAAACATCACACTATTCATCTACGATGAATTTATACGGTCGTAATTTTCAGATGTCCATCGGCACACACGTCTCTGTTGAGAGTTGTTAGTCTTGTGCGGCTGTCGATAGATAAGACAGGTCAGCTGATCAGCACTGCAGAAACATTGGAGATTGTGTAAATGAGATCACCTGGGAGTTACCTACCCCGAACGCGCTGCCGTTTTTTTTTTTTTGAGGTTTTTTATTATAATAGTTTTGCTCACTACATTATTTTTTTAGTTAACTATAAATTCATTGTTAGTTATTAGAATAGATTAAATTTTTATTTAAATATTAAAAGAAAGACGTTTTTGTTTTAATATAATTATTAAACACCCCTAATATTGTGTCACATCTCACGGACTCTTAATAATAGCGTAGATTATTTACTAAACATAAAAAGGCTTTACGTGTGGAACTTTTTTATTCTTTTTAGGCGCAATCGGTAGGGACTTGAGGGAGTGAGCCACTTAAAATCTGTTTTAGTTTCTCCAAAAAGTATCAAAATCATATAAATACATTATTATATAGAAATATTTTTTAGAAATTAATTTAGGCCATCCAAAATTTTTATTCAAATTTCACCAATGTTATTTTCATCAACAATTTTTAGTACGAAATATCATATTAAGATTTCATATTAATAAATATATGTAATATGTATTTCAAACCCTTCCTGTATTTAGGTTTTCCATCAAATTTTCACAAAAACACATACCAAAAGAAAATGTATGTCTCTAGTATACCCTATTAACAATTCATTAGGATCTCAGATTTTATAAAATAGTTACATCAGTTATAAAACTCAGGAAATTTATTTTACAATGTCATTTATTAAGTTGATGTAATTTTGAAATATTTTTTTACTTTTCTAAAATTTGATTAAAATTTTGACATTTATAGATTCAACTTGGTTAAAATCAGAGTCTTTTTACGTTGTTTGGTGTTGTTGGCACTTTAAGCGTAACCATCCCAAATAGGTTTTACCTTATTGATTGTCAGTCAGACTCTATGAAAATAAAGTCAGACTATATTATCCTTATTATCTGTGATAGTGCTCAGTCACCTACGAAATTACTATTGGACACACATCTGATAATTGCGCTGTTGATGAACATATGATAATTTGGTAACACCACAATTGCCAATTTTTTACCACAAAAATTCTGATTTTTTAATATTATTTAATTTTACCTATTGAAAAGAACTATCAAATAGACCTAACTCAACGAATTTTCGTCTAAATAGTCGAGTTAAAAATAATGGTAAAAATATTAATAAAATTCCCTGATAATCTGTAAACCAATTATAAGAACCTATCAATATCTATTTAATATATTATAAAAATTAAAAAATTTTTTATTGTGTTTTATTAAATTAATTTCATAAAGTATTTTTTATAATAAAATAAAATAAAATTGTACTGTGTTTATTAGATAGTATATTAGATAGTCATTTAAACTTAAATAAATAATAATTTTTATCAAAGTAAATAGCAACATTTTTCACACTTCATAGATGATTAATTACATCTTTTATATATTTTTGTCATTGAATATGTAAAAAAAAAACCACAATGGTACAATTTAAAATAATTTAGACTTTATTTAATGTGTGTTTTTTTATTTATAGTTTTTAATAATTTTATTCACTTAATAGCCTATAAAAATGCAAAATTTAATAAAATATGTTAAAAGATAAAAGTTGGTTAATTATACTAGTTAAATATTAATATTCTACCAAAATGTTTTCCAAAACGTATTGTTTTGTTTTATCTTTTGTTTGTTGTTTTTATTTTGGAGGTGTTTTTGCAAATATTTTTATTAATTTTGAAGTAATTTAAATAAAGTTTAATAAATTAAATTAAATTTAGTTAAAATTCTTTTTATTTAACTTTTATGTGATATTTTGTAGTATAAAACATATTTTTTTTTTTGTAATTAAGGAAGTTCTTAATATGCACTTTATTATATAAATAATGAACTTTCATACTTACTGTGACTATAAATTTTATAGAAAATTTTCTAATATGCTTTTTTCATATAGGATAAAGTAAGAAATATTTATAGAACGCATACTGTAAGTATCAATCATTACTTATAGTAGAATCAATACATTCTAGGAATTAACTTTTTTTTTTTTTAATTAAATTTACTATTATTACCATTCAATGGTAATCTTAAAGAATACGCAGATACATAATTGTGGTTATCATATATTGATACTATTTATAATTGGTATCATTTTGCAATTTTGAGTAAAAACATTCTGTCATACAATTTTTTAATTTATTTTAGGGTTCTGTACATTTTGGACCTATTAATATGGTGAGGATTTATTTTAAGCTTATATTGTAACCAGTTTTAATAATATAGAACACGGAGTACTGATTCGTAACTCATAATTATGTAAAATAGCAGTTTTTGGATTAAGCCGCACAAAATTTGTTAAAATGATGAAATTTGTTTTATTATATTAACTCATTCATTTTTAATGACCCTAAACAAAATCACACCCGCATTTAAGTATGTAGTGTAGACACAAGTGCTGTAATGTAAGTTTTATAATGAAATAGAAAAGTAAATTAAAAGTCGATTGAGTATTTTTTTTAATTTACTTATTAATTTTTCTATATTACAATATAAATTTTTAAAATTAAAAATATATAAAAAATATTCAACTCAATTCTTAATATATACAATTTAACTTAATTTCTAATCCCCTTCACTTATAAATTTACAAAAACATAAATTAGATAACCATGTATAACATTAGTATAACTGCAACTAATTAATTATTTTATCAACAACTTTCTTATTGGACACTATCAGAGATAGCACTAGACGCTTTGGCATACATGTTCTCACAGAGATACAATTCCTAATAAGACTCGAAATGTGTAAACCAGAGACACGGTGAAATGATCTATCGTCTTATACATATAATGCTTGCCACAGCTATTTTGACTGAATTCTTCCATGGTAATCGCAAGGCTAGTCATCGTGTGACCACTGTCAAGATTACTCACGTTCTTTCGGTGCGTGAGTCAAGAGAGGAAGGTACTAGAGTATCCTCTAAGGTCCACATTTGGAGTTGGGTACATAGTGAAGTAGATGTTAGAGTGTATAAATGGATGATCTTTCAATCGTTGAATCGGTTATGAGCCTTAAAATAAAAGCCAAATGCTTCAATATAGACAGACTCATAACTTGGTTTGAAGGACTTGAGGTGCTCCTTTAAGCTAGCGTCGTAAATCGTTAAATATATTTTTATACTATTTGTAAATTGTAAAATTCAAGTAATTACGTAATTATTTGCTTATTAAAAAAAAAATTGTTTTCAAAAAAGCCCGTTTAAAATTTCAATGGGCTATAATTGAATCGTACATGAAAATTTTGACATTATATCTACAATTTAATCAACTACACATGTCCTTCAAAGTTGATTTGGCGGTCATTTTACAATAATAAAAACTGAACTTAAAACCATTATTTTTTTGTTTTAAATCTATAATTATAAATTTTTTATGGCTGATAGGAAATTTTTATGGATTTAAAAACTGTAGTTTTTATTTTTTTTAGCATAACTTTATGCGAATTGACATTTTTGTAGCACAAAATCAATCATTCCTGCTAAAACTTACCTATAATTTTTGCTTACGACAGAAATTACCTTTCTATACAAAATATAAAAATCTTAAAAACCCAATTATGTGAGCTTATGTCATAAGCCATTTGTATACATAGCACTTATTTTTATGTTTCCGATTTTATCGTCCGAGAATTAAATTTAAACTGAATAATTAGATTTTTCGATATCATTTCAGAGGTTTATAAATGAGGAAAAAATTGTTGCAGAAATCTATTTACATTATGTAAGTACTTTGATTAAATTATTCTCAGTGAGAGAGGGTAGACATCGTCATCTCCCAAAAAACATAAAATTTACTTGTAATAGGGACATTTTTATTTTGTTGGGAGAGGGTGTTAATATTTTTTCTTATTTGTCACTTTCTACTCGGAATAGTTTTGTGCTCACAGTTATCTATCACAATAAAAATAATAAATAAAATATTCTAAATATTTATTATATGTATTTTTAGTATAGAATTAAAAGAGTATCTTCGTTTTATTAATTTTTTAGAAAGGTTATTATAACAGAGAAAAATATGGAACACCAATAATGGTTGACATCGTATGTTACTTTTATTATAATTGCTGTATATTTAAACACATATTTTTTTTTACATATTTAAAACATGTAGTTATAAAAAATTATTTATAGGTAATTATTTTATTACTAAATACTTATTTTATCAAAAATTATATATAGTATTGAGAATTTTATTTTTGATTTCATTTAGTTCTATACTTTAGTCAATTTATCAATCAAATTTTTCGTGTTCAACTCTTATAATTTATAAGGGTATCAACTTTATTTATTTAAAATTTATGTTTATATATTAAAATTGATACTCCTTTGTGAATAGAGGAGTGCGTTCTAAAAATGAAAAAAATACCAGCACTCATTAATCACTTCTAGTCATTACTTTAATTTTTGTTGGAAAAATAAAATTAACATCTTTATAAAATGAATGAGATTAACGTGAAAAATATTCTATGATTGAATAATTGACTAAAACACGGAAATAAAAGTAATCACACTATAGAAAATTTTCTTAACTTTTATACTATTATAAAAAGTATTGTAACATATAGTCGACTTGGTTATCTTTTACATGGTCTTAGACAAAATGAAAACTACATATAAAAATATATAAAAATTGAAATTTCAAAACCTTAATTTTACAAAAAAAGTTTGTGATTCAATAAATAGTAAATGTAAATTTTTAAAACAAAAATTACTGAAGGGAGTAGCAAAGATATCAGAATGTAAAACGTAAAAAGTTTTTTATGAGTTATTTTAAATAAATACTAACGGGAAATCGCCAGCTTATATATAATCTTAACCAATTTTTGTTTTAGAATTACTTAAAAATTTCTTTAGAAAACCAGCAGAAACACATATTTTAAATTAAATTATTTTTTTAATGACAGAGGTTGTTTAAAAAAAAAAATTATGATTTTGAGTTTTTCATAACATAAAATATCTCTTTTTTTTTTTTTAATTACTGTTATTTATATTTTAAGACGTTCGAAGAAGATTATATCGTATTATGCCATAACAACAAATCAGCATTACATAAATACCATTACAACGGTATGTATAGATCATGTGAATAAAATCCGTATGTTACCTGTTAAATCATAATACTGTATTATCAAAACAACACAGAAATTCATTGTAATATCATTGAGAAAATTAACAAATTATGAAATCATTTTATTTACAGAAGATGGTATTAAAAGGCTGGAGAAATTTATTCAAGATATTCACAAAAATATTAAATTCAAAGTAGTTAAAATTTATGTGAGTTTATCAATAAGTTTATGATACTTTCATACATTTTACTTTAAATTTCATCATTCCACAAATCAAATTTAATTTTAAGTAAATGCAAAATTCATCACTAACTGCATATAAATATAAAATTGACGGATATAAATGAGTTTTTTTTCCTTTGAAATGTTTATAAAAGTCAACACCTAAAATAAAATAAATTGGAAATTATTGTCGTGTATAGCTATGACAAATCCAATGGAAATATAATGCCCATCTTTATCAATAAGGTAAAACGGATATAACGTATCAAATACGGTTTTAATAGAAATTACAATATTTTTCGTGTTTTATTTAATAAGTTTTTAGTGTATTGACATAGCCGATCATTAGGGTATAAGGATGAGTAACCTCCTTCTTCTTCATCACGTTATAAGAGTAATAGACTTAATTAAAATGCAGTGTAGAGAAAGTAGAACAAATTTTTGGGTGACTATTCTTCTTGGATTAATTCGTGAAATAAATAAAGTTTATAAAATTTCCGTTAAACTTTTTCTTTATATTTTTTTTTGTATTATCTTTATGCAAAATCGTATCAAAACATTTTATAATAGTGATAAATATTATTATAAGTGACAATTAGCAGGATAACTACATTAGTGGAGGTCTAGGTATAACTGAGTTTTTTTTTAAATATATTTTAGTTTATTAAAGTAATAGTTGAAAAATATTATAGTTTAATACAATTTGAGTTTCAATTTATAATACCTCTAGAGATAGATAATCTTTTTAATTACATTCATATATCATAACTACACTAGTCTATCTATTCAACACCAAAGTTACTCTGACCCAACTAGTAGTATGCGGCGTGTTAGATGAACAGACNTAAAGTTACTCTGATCCAACTAGTAGTAGGCGGCGTGATAGGTTAACAGAACTGATGACATTGTTCCTCATATAAAAACTCGTAAAATCTAGTATTTTATTAAATAATTTATTCTATCTAGTTAATTCGCAAAAAAAAGCAAATTTATAAAAACAAATTTTATTGATCATATTTCCATTTACAACTGGAAGTATTATCTTATCTTTTACTATCGTAAATATTTCATTGTAGACCCTATAAAATATCTTTTAATTTAATGTTAATAAATTACAGTTTGGTATAAATTTTAAATAAATTTTTTACAGAAAATTAATAATAATGATGTTACACCTTTAATAAATGATACGATTTATGATAAAGAAATATTACTTCAACTACAAAATATTCAACATTTGTCTTTATGGAATTATGTCAAAAATGATCTTATTATATTGAACTCAATTGACAAATCCTATACAACGCTTGAAGATTTAATTAATAATTCAACGACATACAAAAGAAGTCTTCAATCGACTCTTGATGAAGCAATAAAAATTATGTATCATCGATCTATTAGATATGTGATTTTGCTATCTGCATATGCCTATGAAGCTCTATTTATTGAATATGATACAACATCATATTGGCAACAGTTATTAGAAGTTTCTAATCAAATAAGTTCGGCAANCAACAGTTATTAGAAGTTTCTGATAAAATAAGTTCGGCAATGTATAAATTGGATTGCTATAACAGTTTAAGTTACGACTTGTATCAATTTAAAAACGAAGTGCGTGACGGAGAAAATAAAATTGCTCTATTTAAAAGAATGGTAAACAAATATGTGAGGTTCCTCTTAACACCTGAAGAACTGGAAAAATACGGTTTTATATATAAATATACAGAACATGATCTTTGGCATAATCAAGTACTACCACAAGGCATACTTAATAAATTATTAAAAGGATTTCCCAAACAACAAGAAAATATAGAGCCATACAATTTTCATGATATACAGAAATTTCATGATACACAGAAATTTCGTGATGTAGAAAAAGATCTAAATGAAATAAAGAAAAAATTAGAGATAATTTTCAGTTTAATTCACGCAGAATATAACACAATTATCTAAATAGATTTGTAACTTTTGATAAAATCTTTGAATAGGGTATAATATTTATCTTACCTAGTATAAATTTATCGTCTAAAAACCTTTATAATAATAATTATTTTTAATTCTGCTTAAATAATTTAAGCAGATTTAAAAAGAGTAGAAAATTTTATAATACCATTTTTGAGTAATTAAAAAAATAATTTGTTAACATATTGATATAAAATACAGGGTGAGTTTTTTATCATAACCCACTCAATTACTTGCAGAATAATAGTAATTTAAACATTTTTTTTTTTTATTATCTTTAGTTACACATTATTCTTGAATTTTTAACTATATAATACTTTTTAAGTTCATCCCTTATGCCTTGTAAGGGGGTCAACTTTGTTTTTTTAAATGGTAACACATATTATTAATTTAATAAAATGTTTGAGTTTTTAATTTAATAGTAAATGACATTTGAATTTTTAATATAACTTAATTCGTTTATTAGATATAAACATTTAAAGTTTCAAATTTTTGAAATAATATACATGTATAATACACATGGGATTGTAAATACAGGTAGTTAATTGGATTTTTATGACATTGCTGTCTCAGTCACGGATTGTTTATTATCAATTGATATACTTTCTGTATTGTCAGTTAGTGTATTTATAAACTCATAACAATGTGCCTTACTATCATTGATAATAACAATGCTGTGTACCTGCTAATATCGATGTCATAAAAAATCAATTAGCTACCTGTATTTGTAATCCCTTGTGTATTATACCTATATATTAACTCAAAAATTTGAAACTTTAAATGATTATATCTAATAAACGAATTAAGTTATATTAAAAATTCAAATGCCATTTACTATTAAATTAAAAACTCAAACATTTTATTAAATTAATAATATGTGTTACCATTTAAAAAAACAAAGTTGACCCCCTTACAAGGCATAAGGGATGAACTTAAAAAGTATTATATAGTTAAAAATTCAAGAATAATGTGTAACTAAAGATAATAAAAAAAAAAAATGTTTAAATTATTATTATTCTGCAAGTAATTGAGTGGGTTATGATAAAAAAATCACCCTGTATACTATATTATAAATACATGGTTTATTTTCAATATTATTTTGTTATAAAATAATTTTTTTCAAATGATTGTGCAACGTATTAATTTAAAATAAAAACAATAATCTATTATATTATTTATGTTTCATTATTTATGAAAAATTATAGTTATATTTTTCGGAACTTTTATAAAAATAAATTAATAAATACTAGATTCCGTCCCAGAACTGGGATCCTACAAGCCTAACGCTAGTTGTATGAGGCCCTTCGTTCCATTCTTACGTGTAGATCACAGATTCTATTAAGATTAACGTCGGACGTGATATTGACTCATATTGACTTTTATAATTTTATAACAATTTTTTAATAGTAGCTTTAGAAGATGGAGTTGATTTCATTAAAGTTCCGTCACCTTCTCTTGTTAATATTTTAATAAACTAAATTTATTTTATTTGTTAATCCGTTTATGAATTTTTACTGCAATATAATTCCTGACACAAGAGTCTGGTTTCAGAAAAAAAATTAAAAATCTGAATTTTTTTAGATTTATGAAAAACTGACATTTTACCTAATCACAGAAAAGGAATCGAAATGTCAACTTTTCCAAAAATATTATCTTTATCAACTCAACTTTTGAAAATGATACGGAAATATTGACACTTTTATGTATATCTTAAATTACAGCTTAATCAATATACTTTAATTCAAAAAAAAAAAACGTTTGTCTGCACGACTTATCTTCTATGTGCAAATGGCTACCGTAGTTAAAAATATGCTATTGTTTTGTTATAATTCTCGATTTTATGTTTTATAGTTTTAATTTTAAATCGCCACAACTTTTTGAAAAATGCATGAATCAATAGAATTTTTTTTTCATATATACTTTATTACTAACTTGTCTTTGTGGTGAAAATGGACATTAAAGTTAAAAGAAAAAATTACGATTTTTGTGTAAAAGTTTCAAAATTCAAAATAATATAATAAATTGTTGTACAATAACTTATTTAAAACTCTTTTTAAGAAATTAGTGTATACTGCATAAACGTATTAAGATATGCACATCTGTTATATATGCTGCCAATTAATTATATATTAATTTGGTAACGCTTCCATCCGATAACAGAAAATGGTAGACGAGCGTCTCGGCCGTCTCTCAGCACTTCATCCGGACGTTACGTTTTTCGACTACATGTGCGATCGTTGTATGACACCGAGTTACGTCGGTTCTTGTTTGTGTGTCTGCGTTGTCGTCACCATCTTGACTCGTTTTCCTACATGGCTCTATGGAGCTTACGAACATGAAGTTGTTAACAACGCTAATATGTCGCCCTTACGATAGCCGCACATTTTGTGGGTTAGTGTTTATCGCCCTTACGGTAACCTTATTTTAAAGTACTAAATATTCATACATTTTAGTACTGTTTGCGACAGTACGTTTTGTCTAGTTTATGCGTCATACGAATGACTTCCTCGTTTTCCAGTTACATCTACCAGTCATCGTCATCGTTGTAGATATGCAGTTGTTGTACATATTGTTTTGTTTTAATTTTTTANTGCAGTTGTTGTACATATTGTTTTAATTTTTTAATTTTATTATTTTAACGCCGTTGTGACATTAATTTTAAGCGTCCCTCTACCCACATTGATATATATATACATATATAATACTTTTTGGTTCATGTTTTCAATACAGTTAATTGTTTATATCCTTCAAATTCATTTTATCCATTCAAACAGTCTACTTGCCTAATTTTTTCTCCTGTCTGATTAAAGACAAAAACAACAAACACTAGTATTACCGGGCGTTTCGTTCAAACAGATAGATGGTTAGGGAACCAGTCCCTTTAATTTTTTTTTTTTAATATTTATTTTGACTTTAAATTGTATAAGTTTCTATAAAACATTATTAAAATGGAATCTAGTAGCTTCGACGCGAAGCTAAGGAGGTATTAATTTTGCCATGTTGTGTTTATTTATTTATTTTTTGTTTGTCACTATTTTTTCTTAGCTCTCACTGCACCAGTTGTTTTTTTAATTAAAATAATTTATTTAAGTATGCATTTTGAAATTGAAATATCTCCACTAATAATAAGGATGTAGATTTGTTTTTGTACTAACGCAGAAAAATCATATCAATAAAATAAAAAAATTTTTAATCATCATATCATATCATATTGTTATATCCTATAATATTCTATAGTAATCTGATATTTAGACATATTCCGTGCCTAGTTTCACCTAAAATGACTGGTCGATAACAAATTTTGACCCGTTATTTTGGAAATCTCATTACACATTAATCGCCGTGCTTTTCTTCTATATGTAACGTGACGAAGATATACCTCTTCATTTTATGGTATATATGTACATATATATATNTTCACTGCACCAGTTGTTTTTTTAATTAAAATAATGTATTTAAGTATGCATTTTGAAATTGAAATATTTCCACTAATAATAAGGATGTAGATTTGTTTTTGTACTAACGCAGAAAAATCATATCAATAAAATAAAAAAATTTTTAATCATCATATCATATCATATTGTTATATCCTATAATATTCTATAGTAATCTGATATTTAGACATATTCCGTGCCTAGTTTCACCTAAAATGACTGGTCGATAACAAATTTTGACCCGTTATTTTGGAAATCTCATTACACATTAATCGCCGTGCTTTTCTTCTATATGTAACGTGACGAAGATATACCTCTTCATTTTATGGTATATATGTACATATATATATATATATGTATGTATGTACCCTGAATTATTTTGGTTGAGCCGAATGCGTGCTGCGACGGCGTTTATCATTAAAATAATCACGATGAGGTTTTGTGGTTTGTTTGCGCGCGTGCGAGATTGTCAGCTGTGTATTATTTCGGACCGGTTCATGAACGGCATTTGCGTGTACACTCAATCTGCTCCTTTCCTNTTCAATAACAAATGTTGACCCGTTATTTTGGAAATCTCATTACACATTAATCGCCGTGCTTTTCTTCTATATGTAACGTGACGAAGATATACCTCTTCATTTTATGGTATATATGTACATATATATATATATATGTATGTATGTACCCTGAATTATTTTGGTTGAGCCGAATGCGTGCTGCGACGGCGTTTATCATTAAAATAATCACGATGAGGTTTTGTGGTTTGTTTGCGCGCGTGCGAGATTGTCAGCTGTGTATTATTTCGGACCGGTTCATGAACGGCATTTGCGTGTACACTCAATCTGCTCCTTTCCTATCTTGACGTCATTTGCACTGCTCACCACCTACATTGTCGCCTTATGACATATTCTGATTCGAATTGTTCGTAATAATTTCTGGCACAGTGTGGTAAATTTGTTGACCTCTACTCCAAAGGCTAGCCGGATGTCATCANATATATATTTGTATGTATGTAACCTGAATTATTTTGGTTGAGTCGAATGCGTGCTGCGACGGTGTTTATCATTAAAATAATCACGATGAGGTTTTGTGGTTTGTTTGAGCGCGTGCGAGATTGTCAGCTGTGTAT